TCGATAATATTGTTTATTTGATAGATTACTGAAAGCTAAAATCCATTTATAAAAAGTTTTGTAGATAACATTTATTAATAAATTTCTATTTCTTTCCATAAACTAATTACCTACTAATATATTCCTTGACTAATTGTTACTTATTAATGGTGTATTGATTATTTTGTTATTTTTAATTGGAATTTTTCATTTCCATTAAAAAAATTAACTTAGTTAGATTTTTATTATTGTGCTTTAAAACTTCCTTTTTTAGTGCATTTTTTATTTTTATTCCCAAACAAAAATTTATAAAAAAAATAACACATAAAACATAAAATTTATTCACACATTTATAATTACAAAACAAATTTCAACAAATAGTTTTCGTTACCATACTTTAATTTCATCCATTATCTTTCTTACATGTTTTAAACAAAAAACATTCATATAAATCATTGTCAAGTTGCATCGTGTAAATCCAAAAAGGAGGCAACAGGGTTTGTTGGTGAAAATGAAACAATTAAAGTTTTCTATGCTCATAAATTTTTATTGAACCAACATTTAAATTGACTTTATCTCTCCTTCCTCAAACTATTATAATTTTATTATTATTAACTATTGGTGTCTTTGTTTTGTAAATATTAAATTTAAATAAACAAAATAAAAAGCTTGATATATATGAATATATCAAATAATGATTGCACATATATGTAAAAAATTAAATTATTTTCTAACTCACGCACACAATCATCAATATTCTTAAATAATTCAATAAGAAGTAATTTATGGATAATAAAAATCTTATATTATAAAAGAAATAAATTTGGAAGATATTTTCTATGATTTAAATTAGTTTATCAATAAAATTTTAAATGATTAATTACTTAATTAACACACAATTACAAGAAACAATTTAAAGTTAAAAAAAAACATATCAATAATAATGGTGACAAAAATCTAATAACTACAATAAAAATAAAATTGAGATGAATTTTTTTTTCTATGATTAAAATTATTTTATCAATAAAATTTAAATAGGTAAATTAATTAATTAGCACAAAAATTAAAAGAGTAATAAAATATCAATAATTAATGGTGAGAAAATATTATACTATAAAAAAAATTGGATAAATTTTTTCCTATAATTAAAATTATTTTATCAATAACATTTAAATTAATTAATTAATTAACACAAAAAATTAAAGAGTGAAATATCATATTTAATTGCGGGAAAAAAAATCTTAAACTATTAAATAAAAAATTTGTAATAAATTTTTATTTATAATTAAAAATATTTTTATCATTAAAATTTAAATGAGATAATTAATTTAATCACACAAAAAATAAAAGTGTAATGATATTAAAAAAATTATATACTATAAAAGAAAGGAATTCTGGAATAAATATTTGTCTCTAATTAACATTACTTTTATCAATAAAATTTAAATGAATTAATTAAATAATTAACACAAAAATTGAAAGAGTAATAAAACATCAATAATTAACGATGAAAAAAATAATATAATATAAAAGAAAGTAAATTTTTGATAAATATTTTTCTATAGTCAAAATTATTTTTACAATAAAATTTAAATTAATTAATTAATTAATTAACAACACACCAAATTAAAATATCAAAGCATCATAGTTTAATAATTGAAGATGAATAATTAAAATATTATCCATTATCAATAATAAATATTTAAATTATACAATTTTGTTGATAAATTTTAATATTGAAAATTTAACGATGACACAGATATCTGTAATATATAATTTCATCGCAAAAAATATATCATAAATGAATTAGATAATATTAACATTACTCACAGATTTTTCCTTGTTAGTAATATCTATATATATTTAATTTATATTATTTTCTTCTTCCTTTTTGTCTTTCCTTTTATTTACATTTCTACTTACTATTGCTAGTCAATTTACGTTTTGAGTTTCAAACAACAATGTTTTAAAATTTCAAAATTATCTAAAGCTTTTTAAAAAATCTAATTATTGAAATAAAGTGCATAAGTTTTAATTATATCCACATAAAAAGACAATTTTAATAAACTATATATATTTGTAAAATTGGTTCAAGATATAACCTTTTATAATAAACTGTGTGTAACATCCCAATAAATAGAAATTTCCATTAATCAGAACTAATTACATTTACAGAAAATACAGTGCAGTCTTTAGATATAAACAGTACTGCTCAAAAGGTATACAGCACGTACATACATATTTTACAGTAGTTTTCCTCCTCCGTGTTCAGAAATTCAGCCAAACTACAAAACCAGTTCTGAATAATCTATTCTGCACAACCGTATACAGAACTGTCAAAATACAGTACATAAAAATCTAATATCTACTACGGAACTAATCCCTACTGCTCCGATTTGACTTCACTTCCACCAAGGTGGCTCCCCTCCAAATTGTTTCTTTCTTCATCCAGCAAGATTCCAAGGGGCCTCCCTCTGCTCACATCCCACAACGGATGATCATTGCAATTTACAAGACGGACATACAGAAACAGAGACAACACCTGGAAACTTGCAAGGGTAGCTATATTGGTTTAATAAATACAACATACATACAGTTCTGATTCAATTCAACACATTCCTCAAGTAACTTAATCATAATAATTTACATATAATATATATAATACAGACCGTCCGACTGTATGAACCCAGTATTACACAGGCGTCCTGCACAAAGTGGTGTAATTCGCCGGAATATACCTCATCATCATCTTCCACTTGAGGATTAATCATTCGCCCCTCTAAGTGAGAGATACATGACCTCCTGCCATTCCCCACACATGACTACCCCCCGTCCTACTGAAGATGAGCACACGGAATCTCCGGTGGCACCAAGCCAGCATTAAACTACCCACGTCCATACTTTACCAATTCCATATTCAATCATATATGAGACGTTCCTCCTTGGAACGCTCGTTCAATTCCATAATCATATAATCATATCACATAATGTTCAACCATCAACTTCTTTCATAGTTATAATCTTTCCATTCTGTGTTCCACTCTCTTAACATTAACGTCATGCATTCTTTAATCAATAAAACGAACTTATTACAACCTTTGATTTCACGTTTCCTGAACAAAGAACGACTCTTTATTCATTAATGGACGTTAAGAATTTCTTAAGAATTTTAAAGGATATTGATTTAAAGTTCAGAATAATATCTTAGAAGATTTTGAGTACAGACCTTGATTGAATCAAGAAATAAATATCTTACAGAATAACTTAGATAATAACTCAAATTTTTAAAGTACAAGAAAACAACTTCTTCACTCTTACGTCAATGCAACGCACGTTCAAAATTTTACTTTGGACGAACTCAATTACGTTCGCTCAAGAATTCAATAATAAGGACAAGCGTTCAGTAGAAACCGAACCCTGCTTTTGGAACGAACGCTCTGCAGAAGAGTCGACCGATCGATGATACCTCTCAGGTCAATGAACCAATAGGTAAAAACAGTGTTAAGGTAATCAATAATAATAACTATCGGGGAGTTAATGAAAATAATTGTCAAATAATTAATATTGTCATTCATTGGTGATTAATGAGTCAGACCTAACGGTAAGCTCATTATAATTTATAAATATTTGGGAGGACAGGTAACTTTGGACTGAACTTTGAATTCTGATAACTAAATCTTGATTACAAGATTATTAAGCAAAGTCACTGACTTGAGCGTCAGAGTGTCTTTTTTGCAGACACCCTCCCCTGCGGCTTGGACAAGGAGAAGAGAGAAGACAACACAACTGGACATCGGAACTGACAACTTTAAATGTTTTGAATTAAAATTCTAAATCCTGCCGAAACAGTTTGTAATCTAGTATGACTTACCATTCTAATAGACCCCAAGCCACTATTAAGAACACAAACGGTGCTATAGAGTCACTTTGCCTCAGTCTTGTTGGATTAAATTTGGACTACCATTTACCAAAACTGAAATAGAGACCGACAAAACTACTTAATTTAACTTATCCATTGCATGTAAAAACCTACCCTCTCCATCATATAATAAAGAAAATCTTAACTTACCGAATCATATGTCTTCTCATAATCTATCTTCACTATTATCCTTTTTTTTAATCTCTTCCACTACCTCATTAGCTATATAAGTATATAAGTATGTTGTTCAACCATCATCTCCCTGATATAAGTACATATTGACACAAATTAATTACTTTATATATAACCTTTTTTAATTTATCAGTTAGAATTGTTTATATTATCTTAAAATGCATCCTTTTAAAGAAATCAGTCTAGAATTGTCTATTTATATCAAACTAAGAGAATAAATATTAATTTTAGAAATAATTTTATGTGATATTTTTATGTTTTGCATCCGTTGAAAACTGAAACAGAAACGGCTAAGTAAACTATTTCTAGAATGATGTATGCATATGGCCTTTTACTAACGTATGATTAAAAATATAAGATGAAAATATATTATACTTTTATATCTATTGATAGAAAAAAATAATAATGTAGTTTAAAGTGCTTTTACAAGACATTCGAAATTACTTCTAAAAATATAAAAGAAGTCAAAGGTATGTGTAGTTGCTTTAAAACGTTAGTCTACACAGTCATTGGAAGTTGTGTTGTGACTTCACATACGAGAGAAGAGTAGAAATTGGAAACAAGGTATGATACGATTCCAGAAGGGAACCAGTAAGTGGATAAAGTGAACACGTGGATTCCCCTTGAACAGGGAAATAATCATGATGCCACGACAACGTCATTAGTGGTAGTAATATTTGACTGCATCATGTTCCACAACTGCACACCTACAGAACAAAGGACACGTGGCATTACCACAATAATAGTTCACACTCTACCTGTGTCCCAGTTACTAGATTCACCCTGTCACAACACGTTCGCTTTTCTATTTTACTATTTGTTCCCATTTCCCAAGAACCAAGAACCAAGAACCAAGAACCACCTCTCTTATTATTTCTAGCAGTGTTGTGTCGTATCTCCAGATGCCACGGAGAAACGCAGCTCCCAACAACATATAAGAAAGAGAAGAGAACCCAGAATTTTTGCATTTTCGTTGTGTTTGAATTTTCCAATCGTTAAGGCTACGCGGGGTTTAGCTTATACTACGTGTGAGAACTGAACGCACTGCCAAAGATAGAAAATATCAAGATTTGGCCCGTTCTTTAATCCTCTTCTCTCTCCAATTCTTTCTCAAACCGAAACCTCCACTCAATGTATTTCACCTGCTGCTATTCCTTCCTCAACAGCAGGTAATCGCCCTATCACATTATTTCTCATTCATTCTACCTTTCAAATTCCTTATAATGCATCAATTTTTTCAAACCTTCGGTGCTACGAACAATGGAAAACCCTCTCAATTTCCACACAACTTTTCTTTTCGCTTTTAACAAATATAATTTGTTATGATACATGTCGCTATTCCTGCGTTATCGCTTCGGAAACGAGATATTNGTAATATTTGACTGCATCATGTTCCACAACTGCACACCTACAGAACAAAGGACACGTGGCATTACCACAATAATAGTTCACACTCTACCTGTGTCCTAGATGAGTGAATCTTCCTGCACCTCCCTCACCTCATCCTGCACCTCCAAAATTACCTATATACCCTTCATTTAATTAAAAGTAAAAACCTTCATTTAATTAAAAGTCAAAACCTCTTCCATTGCATTATTTTATTCTATTTTTCATGGTAAGTGTCAATTTTTTTAATGGAACATTGCTATACTACACTAGACGTGATCCTGCTAGGCATATATTATCAATGTTTAATAAAAAAAAACGCCACCGCATATCGAATTCCGGTGCTGTATGTTTGCCGCAGATCGAACTGCGGCGTGCATCCCCAGCGAACCGCACTTCGAAGTCCGATTCTGCACGTTTGCCGCACTTCCAAATGCGCGTGCACCTCCACCGAGCCGCACTTCCAACTGCGGCTCTAATCCTTGCCGCACTTCCAAATGCGGCGTGCACCTCCAGCGAGCCGCACTTCCAACTGCAGCGTGCACCTCCAGCGAGCTCCGATCCCATCAGATCACGACCCACAAACCCAATCACTACCCAAACCCAACCAAGCACATAACAGACAAACCCAACCAAGCACATGAAACAAATATATTACATACTAACCTGGACGCCAGCCACGAACCCGAGCAAAGCAGCGGAGCGGATGCCAGAGACAGACAGAGGAGAGGACAGAGAGAAAAAGAGGGAGGAAGGAGGGGTGTAGATCTAGGGTTTTAGTGAGATGCGGCAGTGAGATGCGGCAGGGGAGGGGAAGAAGATGAGTAAAATAGGTTTAATCTTTTTAATTAAATTTTTTTTCTCTCTCCTCGTTGACTGTGAAAGGGCATTTTTGGAATTCCAGTTTTTTTTGGAGATGCAGGATGAGGTTGGTGAGGTGCAGGGAGAATGACTCTTACTAGATTCACCCTGTCACAACACGTTCGCTTTTCTATTTTACTATTTGTTCCCATTTCCCAAGAACCAAGAACCAAGAACCACCTCTCTTATTATTTCTAGCAGTGTTGTGTCGTATCTTCAGATGCCACGGAGAAACGCAGCTCCCAACAACATATAAGAAAGAGAAGAGAACCCAGAATTTTTGCATTTTCGTTGTGTTTGAATTTTCCAATCGTTAAGGCTACGCGGGGTTTAGCTTATACTACGTGTGAGAACTGAACGCACTGCCAAAGATAGAAAATATCAAGATTTGGCCCGTTCTTTAATCCTCTTCTCTCTCCAATTCTTTCTCAAACCGAAACCTCCACTCAATGTATTTCACCTGCTGCTATTCCTTCCTCAACAGCAGGTAATCGCCCTATCACATTATTTCTCATTCATTCTACCTTTCAAATTCCTTATAATGCATCAATTTTTTCAAACCTTCGGTGCTACGAACAATGGAAAACCCTCTCAATTTCCACACAACTTTTCTTTTCGCTTTTAACAAATATAATTTGTTATGATACATGTCGCTATTCCTGCGTTATCGCTTCGGAAACGAGATATACGGCGCTTCATTATACCCACGTTTTCTTTTTATTGCATATATTGAATATGCGCTTCTGTTCATTCCCTTTGAACGCTTCTTAATCTATATATGTCAGATTGTTTGTTTTGATTTTTCACGTTCTTTGGAAGCTATTCATTTTCCCAGGTCTCAAACATGATTTCTCTATCCTAAAGTTTCTAAACATGTGAAGTTTTATTTCTTTTGATAGATAATCATGTTAAGTTAACAGCCTGTGAATCTTTATTATACTGATAGCAGTTCAGGTTCTGGGGTTATTGTCCAATAGCCTCCAAATTCAAATAGCTAATAAGAAAGAATGGAAATATGTTACCACGCTCACATCGATCGCGAGATTGAATCGCTCATAGAAAGAATACATCCTCCCAGGTACTGCTGCAACCTCTCTGGCAATTTCTTGTCGTCTTCTTATTCTTGTTCAACTTGACAGATATCATTGTTTTTCTTGCTTAGCCGAATCATGGTGGATTGATTCCTTAATGAATTACACGTATTTGATCATGTGTTGGCAGGGTCTGCATCGATAATGATTCTTGCCGAGACTGCACTGTGGTGAAGGTTAGATTTAATTCTCTATGGTCAAGTTGCATATATCTTAAATTATCATTTTGTAATTGACTATTTAATCATGCTTGTATACGTTGTGTGTTTCCAATTCGTCCTTTGTGGTTTTCAATGATCACCTCATCAACCACAGCTAGTATGTCCTAATGCTACTTCTTTGGCTAAATCATTGAGCACACTGTTGGAAAATGGGAAGGGCATGATACATGTTAGATTAATGTCCATTCTGCACATTACCACTTGGCTCTTAAGTATGATAACTAATCATTATTATATTATATTATTATATTAGATGCAAAGAAACTGAGTTGTCCCTCTAACACTTGGTACCAAAAGCCAATGCAAATTACAATACGTGCTTGCTTTTTTAACCATTAAAAGAGGATATGAATGACAAAGGATAAAAGGAGTTTGCTTTTTGTCATCTTATTAGAAGAAAAAGCTCCTCTTCTTTAAGAAAACTAAATCTTGATTGTATTCAATCAAAATGACGTAATCCTTTAGAAAGGAGTGTCACGGGTTATATTAGATAGATGAACGGGATAAGATGATTAGCGATAGAGAGAAAAAGACCAATTTTACAGAAAGTATATAACATGAAATATGTAATTGAAAAAAGAAATACTTGGTAGCATGGCAATCAGGAGGCAAAAGCTGGGTGCAGCAAGCAAGTGCTAATTAATTAAGAGCTTGACTTGAGTTTGTTTTAGGAAAACGAAGATTAATTAAATATAGTGTGTTGTGAAAAAGCAGGTAGACAGTGCAAACAGGAAGGGGATATTACTGGAGATGGTCCAAGTGCTGACAGGTCTTGATCTCATCATTTCCAAATCATACATTTCCTCCGATGGTGGATGGTTTATGGACGGTCAGTGTCTCTCTCACGAGTCCCTTTTATTCCTCAGCTTTCTGCATTTTCCGCAATCAACCCAAATATGTATAATTATTAAATAAATACCTTGTCACTTTCTACAACATGCATGAGCTATGCATGCGTCATATATTACCAAGCCCCATAACTTGGTAGGACAGTCTCATTATCTGCAAACGTACGTCAGTAGTCCGGTTCTGATCCATGCCGCGTGGGTCTTTTTTTTTTATTGCAAAGTTCAGTGTTCCACGTGACTGATGAAGCTGGCAAGAAGCTCACAGACGAAACGCTCATGCTCCACATCCAGCAGGTCATTCTGTCTATTTCTACAAATATTATTCGCACCGAAAAATAATGCTGTCACACTCAAATTGTTAGAAAAACATAAAAATTCATAAATGAATTCTATGAATGTTATTATTAAATTACAACTTAACTTATTGAAGCGTTAAATTACATTTTAACAATATCATTGAAACTTCTCTACATAACTCGTGGTTGTTGAAGTTGAGAAACAAAATTGAAACAAAAAGATTAAGAGGAAGATTGGAAAGAAATGAGTGATTTGAAGCATTTGAAATAAAGATAATAATGGTACAGGAACTGTGCGTGACAAGAAACAAAGGAGAGATTTCAAGGGATAGAGAAGGAGGTAGTGAGAAAGGAGCAGAGGAAGAGGTGGTGGGAAAGGAGATAACAGCGATGGAGATGAGTGGGGTGGATCGAGCTGGCCTACTATCAGAGCTAGCAGGAGTGTTGGTTGAGCAGGAATGTGTCGTTACCGCTGCAACTGCATGGACCCACAACGACAGAGTGGCCTGTATAATATTGGTGGAGGATGCGTTAAAAGCAGGGCCCATAAGCGACCCAAAACGGCTGGGCCTAATGGAGGAGCAGCTGGAAAATGTGGTGGCGGCCCATAGGGGAGAGAGGAAGAGGGTGAGGGTGACGAGGTTGGGGGCGGGGCACACCCACAGGGAGCGGAGGCTCCACCAGCTGATGTACGCGGACAGGGATTACGAGAGTTGCCGCGCGTGTGACGGGGACAGTAGCGGGGCACACAAGAAGGGCTGTGATGGGACCCACGTGTCTGTCGGGAAATGCGAGGACAAAGGGTACTTGGTGGTTAACGTGAGAAGCAGGGATCGTCCTAAGCTCTTGTTCGACACCGTGTGCGTGTTAACGGACATGCAGTATGTGGTGTTCCACGCCGCCATCAGTTCCAAGAGATCCATGGCTCATCAGGTACATAATAATTTCTCACAACTTAGTTTAGTCATTGGTGGGCCTGTTGTTCTAATACGTGCTATTGTCATGCATAGGAGTACTACATAAGGCAGATGGGTAGTTCAGGTATTCCCAGCGAAAGCGAGAAGCAAAAACTAACCTTATGCTTAATCGCTGCAGTGGAGCGCAGAGTGTCGCATGTATGTATGTATGTTGTACTTACATTTTAAAAATTAAGTGAAATGTTGGATTTTGAATGTATATATGTCTGGTGCAGGGATTGAGAATGGATATTGTAACTGAAAATAGAGCGGGGCTACTGTCGAATGTGACGCGGGTGTTTCGTGAAAATGGGTTATCCATATCGAGATTTGAGATCGGAACGGAGGGAGGAAAAGCGGTAGGATCATTCTTTGTGACAGATTGTTCAGGTGAAGAAGTGAACCCAAATATCGTTGAATTGGTGAGACAAGAGACCGGTGGATCCGTCGTTATTGATCACAAGTCGCCCCATAGACTTCATCAATCATCGTCCTCCTCCTCCTCTGTTATACACCAAACCACCGACACAGAGGAAGGCAAGCCAAAATTCTCACTCGGAAGCTTGCTATGGTCTCGATTAGAACGCCTCTCCAGCGGTTTTGGTCCCATTAGATCCTGACAACCTTATTCCCCCTCAATTATTTTCTTTACTTCAATCAATGTCGCTCCTAAATAGTTCTGTACATAGACTCTTTTTTTTTTTTTTTTAATTTGCCTTTTTCCTTTTACTTTGAAGAGTGAGCAGCTGGCCACATTATAAGCATGCGTTTTTATTTTATGGTCATTGTACACATTCTTCTCACATCAATATCAAGGTCGTTACACGATCAGAAATGACTTTTTACAAATTCATCTGTGTACGTTACCAGGTAGGATGAGCATTTAGCCATGTAGAAATAGTTTTATCGATATTCTCGTTCCATTTCCAGTGTTTGATTTTGGTTTCATCTGGTGATATTATTAAGAGATAATGATACGTTGATGTTGAAAACTATTTTATAATTATATTTTTTAATTAAAAAGGGCACTATGATACTTTCTTTCTATGCAAAACTAATTCTCGTGTATTTTCGTTTATTAAAAAAATAACTTTCACTCTCAAGATATAATTTTCCAAATGAAAAGCTTCCAACTTATAATTAGTATGTATCTTAACGTTTAGGCCTACCCGCCTCTAAGGTGCTAATAAAATCCCACTGTGATTTCTAGTTCCTAATAATTTTCTGTTGTTAACCTAGATTTGACAGAGTTTATTTTGTAGACAATGATTCTTCGTGTCTATTACCAAAGCTACCAGACTAATTTTTAAGCACTAATGAAGTTACGTGGGTATTGGGTAATGAAGAAAATAAAACACAAGGTTTTTCTTTTTTGTTAAAATGTACTGGCTCTGGCTATCATCCTCCTACTCATATTGACGCTTGCTACGAAAATAAAATCTAATTCAAATTTCTACTTGCATGTGTGGATAGAGAAATGTTCCAAGAAACGTTCAAAGTAGAAAAAGAAACGAGACACATGATATTTTTGACATATTTACAACAGCTAAATTACTTTTTACCGAGAGGAATGTCATGTGTTACTTACAAAAACTCGTGTAAAAATCAATAAATTAAAACTAATTGCTAGTAAATTTGGTAAATTCGACCCAATAATGAACACAACTGAAAAGAGTATGCTGGAAATTTATTACTATAATTTATCATACTAATCATTGTCAAGCTGCACACTGACTTGCATAACAGTCGGCCATAAAACTGCGACAACACTAGTTAAAGTTATTGCAACACTACAACACAACTAACAATGGACAAAGTCTACATTAAGTATCATAGGTATCGTCAATAATATTCTAATGAATATTGATACCACATTCAACAAGTGTCACTTTCATATAGATAACCAAAATTGGTAACAATTAGGAATCATAGTTGTAAAACATGTATTCATTTGTTTATTACAAAATAAATGTCACTTTATTTTATTTTATTTCTTGTTTTCAAATTTTCATATAGAAAACAGTGAAAATAGAAATAAAAATAGAAAATAATACAATTATTTTCATTATTTCTGTGTGTTGTATATATTTATTAAAATAAAGAGTAAAATAAAAGAATGCTTCATAATTTGTAATAAAAAAGTAATAAACAAGTAATAAAAGTGGAAAATATTTTCTAAAATCAAATAGCTCCTTAACTTAAAAAGTAAGGTTGACTTTGATTAAAAACAATCCAATAAAACATTAATTTGTGCATCGAGCTATTCTTTCTCAGTTCTTAAAATATTTAAGCATAATAAGTACCTTAAGTAGGTTTTATGATCTTTAACAACAAAAAATTGGACTATTATTTTTGGTCATTAAAACCAATTTTCTTTCAAATTCTTCACTTACTTGTATCTCGTGTCAAACCATTAATAATGAAAAAATCAAGAAACAAAACATGTATATACTTAAGCAAAATAAATTCCTAAACAAAGCATCTCAGACAAAATGCTACAAGTTTAAGACACTCATTGAGTACTATGTGTTGCATATAATCCTGAGGAATCATACTTATCTTGTTTTAGAGAAAAGATCAAATAGATACAACACTAGAGAAGGGAAATGAAAGAAGTCCTAAGTCAGCCTGTCACTTAAACTCGAGAACAGTTTGAGAACCAGAGAAACTAACACGATAGGTGGTACAAAACTTTAAAAATTTCAAATAAATGAGATAATGATACTACACGGACCAAATTAATTATTTACTAAAAAACAATCATATTCAGCATCTACAGTTGTCCAACAACAATTAATCTTACAATCTTAGTTTTGTTTCCATGTCTTCTATTAATATTGAAGAGGTAATATTATTTATCACTACAATATGCAAACCTTTTAGGCTGTAACTTGTCAACATAGTTAACCCAGTAATTTAAACCACCGATAAAATAAAGCAGAACCAATAAATATTTTCTAATTAAAATTCAAAAAGGAAATAACACCGAGAAAGGTGTAAAGATTATGGAAGTTACAAAAGAAAGACGGATGCTTCGAAAGTCAAGAGAAACACCAAAGCCCAATACAAGTAGTGAGCAGAAACTACTTATGATATCTGACGTTTAGGCACAACAGCTATATGTTTCATGTCTGTAGTAATGGTAGTGAAAGGGTCTTAAATTTAGTAGTTTGTCCTGAAAAGAAACATCTAGGATTCTAGGTAGCTCAGAACCAAATAGCCCTAGTAAGACTATGGCATTGGACGCTAAGAAACTTTGCTATAGATAACGCCTGCAGTATATGTTCATAAAGTGTCGTTGTTCGCATCTTTTAAATAAATATTTATCATAACCATTTACTAGAAATTCAGATATCAAATAGAAGATTTAGTTTATGTACGGTGCAATAAATAACCATACACAACACAATGCCCAGTGGAGACTGGTTTTATTTACAGACAGTCTTTCAGAATGTCAATCGTAGAGTACACATACTATATGCAGATATTCACAAAAATATAAGGGAATCACATAAAAAAACTTACCTCTGGGACATATTCCAAGGCATTGTCATATTACATCAATGTCATCAACGTTAAGCCAATCATTGGACTCCTTGGTCACAGAATTACGAGAACTTGAATGCTCAGAACCAGCATGTTTGCTTTCAACAGAGAACCTATCCTTATCAGAGCTAGGAGAACTTCTACCTAACTGAACCCAATCTCGGGAGTCTTTTGTTGAAGAGTCAGAACCTGATCTAGTTTTCTTATTACTTTCATGTACATCAACATCGTCCTCCTCAAGATCACTGAATGACACATCCTCATCATTACCAGTTTGAATATAAGTTCCACTGGGACCAACCATTTCAGAACTATCCTCTTCTTTCAGCCAATCATCGGCATCGTCCTCATAGGTTTCATCCAAAAATCTATTGGTTGAACCAGATGCTGATTGCTCTGCAGATGGTTTTACCGGTTCCTCTTTAGCCAAGGACTTGACAATAATTTCTGGAACATCACTTTGAGTGGCATTTTTCTCCATTTCAATATCAGACGTAACCGTAGATGGGACTGCTTCAACAACAGATGCCTGAAGAGGTAGAGATTCAAGTGGAGAACTGTTTGGCACAAAGAGATGTTGCTCCTCCTCTTTTGGAGGAATATTGCCTCCGGCGGATAGCTCCGATTCTTTCTTTTCCTTACCTCTTTTATCTAAGGCCTGAGTTAACATTGCTCTAGCTTCCACTATCTGCACACATACCACGATTGGTAGTAACAAAGGCAAGGACGATTCAAGTAATACCAAAATTACCACATAGCTAACATCAAATGTGACAAGCATGACAATGTTTATTTTGGAGCATGATGGACACATTTTTTCAGTCATAAAAAGGGATCACAGATAACTTATAACTTCATGAATCATGAAGGACTTTCCTAACAAGATTTAAGATTCCGATGCCATGTTTATCCTGAACAATGAAATACCTTAGTTTTCTCTGCTTCAATTATTAGTAGCACTCAATAAAAGTTAAAGCAATTAAGACAAGCAAACAAAGAAACCAAAACAACACAATCATTTTACTTAAGAGGCATCAGCTCACATTTGCCCGACAAAAACTATACAGATGCAACGAATATAGAAAACGAACGCCAATAAAATTTAACTTACTTGGGGGGTGGATAAAATATCAGCATCACTTTTGCTGAGTCTAGGATGCAGGAGTACAAAATAAATCTTCCAAAAGTTACCATCACTCATGTATCCGGGGCACAGTTCCATTCTAAGAGCAGCTAAGCTTGGTGCCAGATGTTCAACAGCTAAAGCGTGCTCATGTTGCGCATCGGACAAATCAAAATCTAAGCAACAAAATTCCAGAGATAGTGAAACATCAGCCACGATCAAATATCATCTAAAATACACACATGAACATCTTAAGAAGCCCATTAGGGCAAACTGCGAGAATAGCCATAACTATTATATATCTGTCTAGAAGTAAAAATAAATCATCTCGAAATTTCGATTGGAACGGTAAACAGAATTTGCATAACCAAGAGTGAAAAAGTCGATATACCATCAGAATCAGCATCGTCAGGAAGAGGAAAATCGAGCCAAGTTTCTGGATGCAGCGCTACGCTTCTGGCAAAGGCAACCACGTCCTCGGTAACTCCGACAACGCCTTCCAGATCGTATTCCTCTTGGGATCCAAGCTGAAGGAAATTCGAAGCAATCTTGGTGAATTCAGATACCGTCTTATTGCCAGAAATCTTGGAGATCCCGCTCTTGAACTTGCCACCAATCTCGGCGAAATCGTTACGGATTCCGGCGATAATATCTTCCTCGGAGGAGGTGGGATCGGCGTCGGGAGTACGGGGTTGAGGATCAGGCGGCGGGGCGAGGAAGGAGGCGACGCCCCATATCTGGCGGGAAAAGGATTTGGTGAGCTCGTTGAAATCCTCTTTGACCCCGCGCGCGGTGGGACTGGGAGTGGATGCGGAATCGGGTTGAACGGGTTCTGATTCGGGTTTCTGCGGAGGGGATTTTAGGTTACCGCCATTGTCATCGTCGATATCGTCGTCGTCGAGTCTGAGTGAGTTTGCGATTGTCTTTGCAAACCACGACATGGTTTGGTTTGATTGATTGATTGATTACAGCTTCTTACCAGATTTCGATCGCCACTTCCTCCCAACTCAAGACTCCCCTCCTTCACCAGATAAGACCATACTCTGCGACACCGTTTCAGATTGCACAAACCAAAAAATTTTATTATTTGAGTTTAATTATAATTTCCCATTAACTTTTTCTAATTCATTCTTATTTCTAACTCTGCAACCTTCCTTCATTTAAAATGA